GGGAGAGGGGGGGTTCGCAGTACGTATTGTGCGATGTGGGACGTACTTATAGCACATCTTATTGAAGACTCGTCCGCTGACCCGTCTGCATCTCTGCCTTCTTACCGCACGGCAGCCCTCCTGTCGGGCAACCCCGTGCCGTACATATTTATGATCCCTTTTCGCTGCTGGTCCTACTTTGTCCACTAAGGTCTTCACTACGTCTTGCTCGCTACGAAACTCCTCGGTCTCAAAATTCTTGACCTTAGAAGCCCGTCAGAGCAGCGCGCACTTCGAAGCAGGGTATTAACGGTCAAGAAATTCCTCGACCATGGCTCTGCACTGTGTGAGAATAGTGTCGAGAGTGAATGTACGCGTGGAGAGCACAGACGGCTCGCGCGTGGCGAGAGTGAATGTCCGCGCGGGAGAGCGTGACGAATAGGCGAAAATCCTCGGCGAACCGTCAACAAATCTGCGACTGGTTTTCACTCTGTTTCGAGGTACCCTTCGTATCCGGCAGCCAGGTGCGTCTGCAGTGCAGATACAACCACCGCAAGAGATGATGGCCTCCATAAGAATGGTGATAATAAGATTGGGCACCACTCATCTATTGTAACCCCAAAATCTCAAAATTATTAATGGCCCAGGGCGACGTAGGTGATAAAAGTAAAGCACTCAGCGCAGTCCACTTTTTCCATGTCCCGCCGTAAATCCCAACCTCCCTCAGAGTTATAGCATTACTTGTGTGCCACGTATCCCATGACTTCTGACGTACACTTCGATGTTTCATCCTTCCAGAAGTCTGGCAACAATCCCGCTACCTGGTGATAAAAGATGTCAAGCTGACCCGTGCCTGATCTTCGAGGTAGCCTTCGTATCCGGCAGCCTTCAGTGAGCCCTCCAATCCTCCACTACACCACTTCCGCCCTAACCATAAGACAGGTGATCACCCCTACCAAGTTCTCCACATTGGGGAGGGCAACTCCACGTTTATACTCTACGTGAGTGAATTCACGCTTCTGAGCGCATCCTTAAACCGCAAAAGATCCAACCTTCATGCTGGGAGCAGTTCCTGTCACAGGGTGGGTAACCGCATTACCGCGCGCGACATCACACAGCCACATTAGCTTGGACCAATTGGATTGCATGACTGCCGCGCCCAATGCAGCAGCAAAACGGCGTTTTCGTCGAGGGTGCGCGTCAGCATCGGCGGTAACATTCGGATGCAATCGAGAAGTTATGCCCCACTTAATGAATCGATATAAAAATGGATATTTACACTCCTTCTTTTTCTTATTCTTTGGAGTTTGTCCCGCTTGGTGGCAGGACCGCTTTCAAAATGGTCATTTACACACAGTCTAATAAATATTTATACACGTCATCAACCTAACCTCGCAAAGTGACAGGGAGTTCTTATCTCATACAAGCGACTATGGTAAAATACATATGAACTTATCATTTGAGCACTTGTTAATCTGCTTAAAACCGTTAATCGAAACCGTTATAATATAAAACTACCCTAAAATGCAAAAAGGGCTCACGTAAGCTGTGGCAACATACAAATTAGAAGCAATTTAAAACAATGATCATCAATATAAACAGATCCTTTCATACAAATCGGTAATACTGTTGTGGCAGCTGGTGGTGTATTGTAGACTTCTGCACTTTTAGCATGTTTGGAGAAGTCGGCTTGGAGCACTGTACAAATCATATCAGTTTGCTAATTATTGACTATGTTTCACCGACATCTAGCATGTGCCAGTCGTCGGCGGATCCGGAAATTACCCATGTCCAAAGCAATGCTATCTATAATTCAGCCCAGTTTTGTTCCTAATGTCCCAGACCCAAATAGCATAACGTTCATCAACCTTGCGTATATGACTGCAAGCCTAAGGTTGATGAACATTATGCTATTTGGATTGATGAACATTATTGCTAAAGTTAAACACGAACACCTTACTGCAAAATCAAGCAGTTTAGACGGTCCTTTATCTTTTGATTTCCAGTAGTACACTTATGTACCACCACAATTTGGAAAGATGGATGTTGATACTCGGCGATTGTGGAGTAGTGACAGCGCTGCGGCGTTGCCACACAACGGCAGAGTGGGGCATGTTGTTATGGTTTACGATGGGCGAGCCGTCACTGTCGCTGTCGCGATTGCTCATAATCGCCGAGTCTAACATCCACCTAAGAGTGCCAATGGTAGGCAAAGAATGAAGAGAATCAGCTGATTTTGCCTCCGGGAGGCGACTGCACCATCGGAACACCGTCATTCACGTCACGAAATGAAGCAAACACGGTAAACAATTTCTCGGTAGATTTTCCTCAATCCAAAAAATTAGTAACCTGTTCAGCTGAGTAGGCGGAGCCAAACTTTTCCATAGCCGTGACGAGTTTCTGTGCACCATATAGGTCGACAAAACGGAATGGTCCACCCCAGAATGGTGGGAAACCAACGCCGAATACTGACGCAATGTCACCGTCACTCTGAAATTATTCGCTCAAGAACAATCGACAAGCACCTGCGCTTGATTCATAGTACATTCTCTAAGCTGAAGCTAAAGATATCTATCAAACGATACCGGGCTTGCGATGACTCCTTCTTCGAGGCACAAAAGAGCCTCGTTGACGAAACGTGATGCTAGACGCAATTGCTGATCTTCTACCGATGAGCTTAAATCAAAATTGAAATCAAAATACTGTCAATAACAGGGATATAACACAATTACTACGTACCAATTCTCAGGGGCCTTCAGTTGATATTTCTGGAGGATCTTCGTCGACTCCTCATTAACCTTCTTCTTGCCTTTGTCTTGGTAAACATAAATACCTAAATATGAGACAAGTAAGATATGCACCGCTGTAATTCAGGAACAAAACAAAATTGGATGTTTGTTTTCTATCGTGA